CTTTTTACGCGAAATATGAATACATTAGTGTGCAACAAACATAATTGCGGTTGAAACGAGAAATAAAATTTTAATTGAAACAGCACAAAGTAAATGTTTATTTATTTCATACAACCGAGAAAATAATAATTCTTGTACGAGTTGTACTAGACAATCGGTTATGACCGTAAACTCGGTCTGTAAATGGTCACTATAAGAAAACACAGTTATTGTTTTATGTGGTGCTTGGCTGTAATAAAATGGTAATAATTTTCAAGCACAGGAATAAGAACATAAAGTCACACTTGTTTGATTACAGTAAATATTACACTACACGATAGAAAAAATTAAGGTCAACTATTGCGTTTGTAAGATTTCGTTTGAAGCAAATTTAAAATAAAACTTCACCCTCTCATAATTGTAATATAATTTAAAATTTTTCTGAGAAGGGGCATACCTTACAATCCATCATTGAAAAATTACTTGATTATTGGTACATTTTTATCAGATACCATAGATTTGCCTTATATAATTCAATGATGCTTTTACCCCTCTTGGGGTAAATGGGCACAGTTCAGAATAAAATTTTTAATTTTTTGTATTGTGGTAACTTTTTTTTTTAACTTCAAGCGATAATAGTACATATTTAATCGTGAGGTGACATATAGTTATTAAGAATATTGTAAATACAAAAATAAATTAAAACACTAAATAGTCTTTGGAGAACTATAGTGTTCTCAACTCGTTTTTGAACGTCATGAAAATGACGTAGAAATTAAAAGAACTTTATACACATTGATTTTAAATATGAAAAAAAATGAGACAAATAAAAAATAATAATATAAATTATTGGTTAAACGTTACATATACGGCTGTTCAATTAAGATATTGCTACTGTAGACATGACTTACGCCCATTCGAATTAGTGTTATGCAATCCGTCGAAAGCAATATCGTTATTGATTTAGTTTTGATATTGATAATTTAGTTATTGTTTTTCAATATATTTAAAAATATTATTAATTTCACTAGGAGTTTTAAATATATTTAAAAATATAACTTTTTTTTTTATAAAACTGTACAGTTGTTAGATAACAATGTTTTTAAGTTGGTTACTAACCAATTAAAAAACTTAATTATAACAAATCAATAATTAGATATAATTAATAACAAAAAAATTGAAGTTAACGTATTAAAATAATATACATTTATATGTTCACAAAACGTGTTTCAAGTTTTTTTCGTACAACAAAATACTTAAAATTGAAATACAAAGAATAATTATCATATTTAAAAATATAATTTAATAATTAGACAAATAATTTATTTAAACATTTATTATATACTTCTCATAATTATTAAGTACAAACAGTATTTAAAAAATTTTTTTTTATGAATTGTCAGTTACATAAGAACTAATTATTATTTACAAAATTGTCAGAAAAATTTCCTTCCGTCTCAAGGTTAATTATTTAATTTTTATTACTAATTGAATTAGTTATAATGCACTTGTGTTAATAAAAACTATTTTGTTATCAGAAAATAAATATAAGAAAAATGATCTTTAAAATAAACTAACCCGTTGAGTTAAAAATCTTTGTGTGCGCCTAAATAGAGAATTTTATAGATTTTTAGACTTTTTATTGTCATTGTGATGGATATCTATTGTACGTGTCAATATGATACAAATAATTTAAAGTTTTCGAAGACATATAAATGGAAAATTTTATTTCTTCAAATATAAGTTTGATTCCTAGGTAATTTATAAAACTAAACAGAAAAGTTCAAATAAACGACATTTTGCCTTAGTGTACATCGATGACCTAAGTATATCAATAACATTTCCTGTCTTTTTTTTTTTAATAATAATTTACCGACTTGTGTAAAAGTAAAGTTACTTAAGAATCGAAGCAATAAAATATTATAAGACAGCCGATAGGAAATATTTCAAGACGGTTAGTCCGTAAAGTTTTTCCGGTGCTACATAATTTATTAGGGTTGATTTTAGAATTTCCAATGTTCATTATATTATTTATTCTTATCAAATAATAATTATCGATTTAATTACATTAGATTATTCTTTTTCCTAAAAAATAAGCACACGCGTGGATTCATACGACTAGTTAATAGTTTATAAGTTTAAAGGTATTTTCACCCTAAAGAAATTGAAGTCGAACACCGATAATCAAATAATAAATACATATAACGTTATTTTTTAATGATGGCGTTTTAGTAGACTTCCTCGTGAAATAGTTTACCCATTGATAATAAATCTTGGTTAGCTGATGGGAAATTATTCAAAGAATGTCTTTTGACGGAAAACAAAGCAAGTAAAAAAATCTTATCAACTTTAAAGCTTTGAAATCTTAATAATTTATAACTGAGGAATGTTGAATTATTTCGTGGTAAAAATTATTGGATTTTCACAAAAGTAATTTGATTTTATTCAAATTTATGACTGCCGATCATTTCCGTTGAATAGTTTCATAATATTTAGAGGCCTTTTTTGTCAACGGATTATAATATTAATCATATGTTAAAATTATACAAGTATAATAATCATGTATAATCGTCAAGTCAATTGTTAATTTTTTTATGCGTGTTTTTACTGCGTACTATGCATAGTGTAGGTCAATATTTTTTTTTGACCTTTTCATTTTTTATACGTATTTTGTTTCTTTTAAGTCTTTGTTATTGTTAAATTAAATACTTGTTATTAGAAATAAAATTGTAATTTTTTTTTTTATCTAATATTTTTCTTAATAAAACTTAAAACTTAATAAAACTAGAATTTGTTTTTACATAGAAACCGTAAGTTTAGACCAAACACTTTTATAACATTAAATGTTATAAAAACAGTGTGCGATGGAATATTTATATTATATAATAATATAATATATAATATTCCTATATTCGCTTTCTCTACGGAAATTTCCGTAATACTCAGTAAAAACCTTTGTAATCAAAAATTTGAAAGAGTGAGTTTAAGTCAAACACGATTTAAAAAAAATATAAGTTTATGTTTGTAAAACAATATATCATATAACAGCTGTATCATTCAATATTGTAGCAGTTTTATGATCTATATTGTTTTACCACTATAACCGAATAATTTTTTCATGTTAATTTATTTTCACAAGTTTATGACTTACATAAATTTCTCGAGTGCTATCGATTTTTTTGATTAATTTTTATTTGAACTTTTTTTGAAGCCCAGTGATACAACTAGCGAGAAAGTGGACTAATATTTTGCCGTCTCAAGCGTTTTTGTTGTATTATTATAACAAAAAAGCTTTTATTAGCCCAAATTTATAAATTATAACTTTAAATAAAAGTCATCAAAATTTGTACAAATAGAGCTTTTATGTTGAAAAGGTCGTCTTAAGATACTCTCTTTGAAGCACATTATGCTACTGATGCAGGTACATAGAAAACTGATGGTTACTTAAAAAATTCTGTAATCTACATGAAAATAAACTAAGTTAGTTTTTAAAGGATTATTTTTTTGGTTTCTTTTTCCTTTTATTTTAATAAATGTGAAAAGATTGAAATAGATTATTTAGAAAATCAAAAATATAATAATATAAAAATTTATCACAAAGACCTTTTTTTTTAATGATTGTTTTCAATTTGTTTTAAATTTTTGTTTAGTAATAATTAAACAAAGAAGTATAAAACACTACAACTAATCATAGAGTATAATTAAAACATGAAAAAGTAATACTAGTTTTGGCTAGAAGCCACTACTTTTAATTATGGTAAGAATGGCTCTTAGCCAAACTAGTAGTTACCTTTTTATTTTTAATTATACTACAGGCTTAGCCTTATTTTTTTCTTATTTATTGTCAATAAATGAGTATTTATACAAAAAAGTAAAAAATAATCGTCAATAGTTCATTAAAAACATCTGTGCGATATTTATTTGTAAACGAAAGTGTCTCAAACAATAACTTCTGGCAAAATAATAAGATTACGTATATAAAATTTAAATTCGAAATATTAATTGTGCTTTCTTCCTCGAATAATCATTTCAATTTAAAGTGTTAAAAAATGTCATTCTTGAGGTTATGTTTAACAAATATCTTATGAAATCCAAAAAGGACCGTGTATATTGTATTAAGGTATTTTTAAAATACCAATGATTCTAATATAAATCATTGATTAATAGGTGATAAAAATCATTTAAAAATAGTTGACAGTTTGAATAGATGTATTTATCACAAAAAATGTAATTGACGTTTAAAACTCTCCCCAAAAGTCTGAATAGAAAATTAACAACTTTCTGTTGTCTTATAACCTTTGAACAATTTTGTACGAGAAGAGGTTTGCTAAAAATAATATTGGTAAGAATCGGCTCTAGTCACCTTCTATGTATTATAAAAAATTTACTTAAAAGAACAGTACTGTTGTTTTCCGTGGATTATGTTTACATTAACCGTTTTGTACTGTTCGATTTTATGTCGTCATTAGCGAACGAAATTCACGTTGCGCGGCGTCTGATTACCTTTGGCGGTCAATCAGCGCCAGGGCGACGGATTCACTTATAGAGTTGGTCACGCGATTCGCATTACGCCGTGTTAAACCCTTTTGTTGGTTTTACATGTCCGGCATCCCTTCCATTCAGCCTATCTGCGTTTTCACTTCTCTGGAACAGGCTTGTTTTGTCCCAAGGGCGCAGTCGGCGTCTTTTGAATGCGAAAAGTTACACGAGCATCCTAATGTCCACAGATCAAGTAAAATTGACAAGATGCTCATAAGGGCACGTCGTCGGCGGAGAGAAGTCCGCGGTGTGATGGTGTGAAAGGGGTGCGCTTGGAAGCGTCAATCAGTGCGCATGCACACTCGCGAAACAACTCCGCCATGTTGCCAAACTAACTATTAATATAATATAATTAATAGCGAGGACCGGGTGCGATGAGGAGAGAGTGGCCGCGGGGAAGACAGCGGCGGAAACGACGGCTGTGACCGGTGTGGTACGGCGCAGTGGCACGGGGTATGTATATACGCAGTACACATACAGCAATGAGATGGAGCGAGTGAAACAATAAGGGTCGAGTGGAACGGGGAACGAAACTCTTGTTAACATTGTGTCCAATTATTGATCTGCGTAAGTATGTAGTAGGAAGCGTTCACACTGCTTTTAAGTAGGACATGTGGGGTAAGGAAATAATACGTTAGACCATCTCATCGACGTGGTTTCGTACCGTTTCGACTCAATGATTTTTAATTTTATCGGACATGCAACGGTCATAAAAAATCAAATTCGTCGAACCGAAGTGTCGTGAAAAGAATGGAGCCCACACGTTGCAGTAACGTATGGGACAAGTTAAAACTTGTTCAAGTATAAAGCGTTTGACGTCAAAATCAATTCGCATCAAACGCACACCGTATCTTGTAAGTCGAAGATTAAAACTATAAACTTTGAGTTTTTCCGAGAAATTCTTATTTGTTTCAACTGGCACTAATGGCTTATTAAAATGTATATTTTAAATACACGCGGTACTCGAGAAAACTAAGTAGAGTTAAACTTTGTAATGTTTTTGAAAAGGTAAACTATTTAATGGAAAAACATACTTTACGCCGTGGGATTTTTTTTTTACACAAATAAGTATACATTTTTAATATGCTTATACGTTAAGTTCGCTGTCGTGCCTAAAGACAACGCCGAGTTTCTTAATGTAGGTCTATGTACATTGAATTTGACGTTTATTCATAAAATTCCACAGCAAAATCGATAATTACATAATAGCAGCCAAAGCAGCACAGCTTATATTGTATTCAATTAATTTTGATTGGTTTAAGAATTACGTAATGCCTGTACAATATAATGAATAAAATATAATATAATTTTGTAATTCGTTGCTCATGGAAACCATGTACATACATTGTTATGGGCCATAAGAGCAGTTATTGTAAATTGGTTAATTAAGCACAATTGAAAGCGAAACGAAATGATAAATTTTAGCTGCTAGCATTGAAATGTATCAAAACACAAGGTAAAGAACACAGTCGTTTGCAAAAGTTTTCGAGTGATGGTTAATTATAAAACGAGACTGTAGTGTTTGAATTTTAGGCAAACGGTTTACAAGCGTTTAGACGAATGATGCTTTTTACTATTATTATTATTATTTTGTTCGTTTGTTTAATTGGATTGACTTTATGCTTAGGGAGAAATCACTCGCTTCATTGTTTGTATATCATTTCATATGTATCAAATATTATTGAATTAAAAAGTTTAAACGCGTTCTCGTGTACATGACGTATAGGTACATTAACTTAAATCATGAGGGAGTCGAGTGTATAGAGAGACAGTTGGAGAAACAATAAAAAATTATGTATTATAAAAAAAAAAAGAATCATAATTGAAAAATATCGCAGGACTTTGTTGGGGTATGATGATAAAAAAAACACAATACCTAATTGTTCATACATATTAAATGTAATTTTATTTTTTTAAAGAATAGCGAATATACGTTTTAGCTAACGGATATATCCGTTTGTCTGAGAGTAGGACTTTTTCGAGACCATTTTTTGTTTGTCATTTGACATTTGTATTTTTTATGAAATACTAAATTCGTAGAATGAAATGGGAAAGTAATCATTGAACTGTATTGGATCAGTTTATTTTGTAGAGAACTCAACTAAATTGTAAAATGGCGGCATAGATTATTGTTTAGATGAAAAAATAAATAATGTACTCGGTAATATTAGATTGAATTAGTAGACAGTTAGTTGTAATGTGAATTTCATATACACAGAACTTAATATAAGTTTGTAGACACGAGAAATATGTGCTATATTAATAGCGCAAAATGACACGTAATTGTTTTATCATTAATTTCTAATTACTGCTATTTCATTTATCGTTCAATATTATAGTAATATGCATTAATTAAAAAAATATTCAAATCTGTTGTTTTTCCAAACCTAATAAATAATAGCTTAATCAAATTCGGCTTTAAAAAAAACAAATATTTTTCATTCGATCGCATTTTCGTGGCTGTCTCCATTAACCGTCGGATTAGACAAACACATTTTTCACATGTTTTTTATTGACTTTGTTTTAGGAATTTCTAATAGAGGTGCTACCAAGACCTATACAACACATTGATTGCAGTCGGTACGGGCGAGCGTATTTTCTGCTACGGACATACAGTACAGATTGGCGAGTAATAATTACCGACCACTTGAATCGCTAAAATATCGGATACTTCCAGCCCATTTGTAATTTTTTAGAAAACTACCGTAGGTCTTTCACGCGAAGCGTTCGTTTTCGCTACACTACTTTATGCATGTAAAACATAAGCAACGTTTATTTTTTATCTTCTCGCGCATTCATTATCGCCGATGTTTTATTTTCAAAACTACACGCACATGATAAAGTAATACAGTCGGCGGCGTTAACAATGGATGCGCTAAACGTGCATTATGCCGTTGACGCGGCTTGCACGCGGTGGTACCGTATGACCCCAAGGGGAAGAGATACAATAAAAATAATAGTAATAATACAAAAAATCTATACTTGCAACACGCGGGTGCGCGGTGGTATATCATACACTGCCACGGGTGTGTAATGTTGTAATATAATATACGTTATGAGCGTATGAAAGAGGCAGTGCGAACAAGTGCTCAGGCGCACACACATACTCTGCCGGAGGACCTATTCGCCGGAGGGGGCTCGGACCCCTTATTTATTTAAGTTGGTCGTATGCATAATGTATGTTGGCTGGGTACAGAATTTTCTATAATAAACGAGATATCTTTTAATTTATTAAATAACCCCCTCCGCCCTTCGCCCCGTCCGGTGTTCTCGTTGCACCCTCGTATCATCGCGTACTCGCCCCCGCCCCACTTGCCGGCCTGCATTTTAAGATCTGCGAACGGGCAGCTAGAGGCGCTAACAGCAACGGCGATGTAGGTTGTAAAACCCGAGCGATGGAAGCCTCCCCTACGTCGGTCGGGCCTCGCACGACAAACCGGGTGAGCGGGCGGACGGAGGAGGTCTCATAATTTGTTTTGGTTGTTTATTTTTTATTTAAAAATATAAAAGTAAAAGAAACCCAGAGGCGACTGCTCTGGTGTATTCAAACTTTTGTAAGTAATTCATCGAGTTGGATGAGTGTTGTGCCCGTTTGCAATATTAAAGTTAAAATATTAATACATATTTATCCCCTAACAGCTGCATCCCGGTTTTACGCCGCGTATCCCGTAGGGTAACTCGGAGTGGTGATAGAAGACATAAATTTATATATATATATATATGTACGATGCATGCGCTTTAATAATATATTTATAAATGTACACGTTATGCAAGATACATGTTACATTTTTCATATACTTTTACAACGGAGAATGACTGGATAAAATAAGACACGCGGAGAGGTAAAGCCAGGGGATATTGTGTGCGAGGACGTTAAACGTATATGTGCAAGTACATGTTGTTATTGCGGAGGAGGTTCGTTAAAATTATTATATATATATTTGTATTAAATGCATAGCGAATGAGCGAGATGGCCGACGTCGTGTGTCATCATATAAACGATATTAGAAGAACGTATCACCGTATTCGACGCCGCATCCTCTAAGATCGGCAGGGAATTAAAAAAGTATGGATCAAATAAGCAACGAAACAGCTACCGTCATTAAATTTTATTTCATTTGGAATTCCGGTGTAATTTAAATGCGTCCAGACGTAATTGTGGTTACCAAATATTAGTCGGAAAAAGGAATTGCACAGACAACATTTTTTTTGAAAACCAAAACTAAGGTCATAATTATCAAAAGAAATAAAGTAACTGCGCCGCGGCTCTCGAGTGTAGCTCCTTAACAAAAACCAACGTCGACTCCAAACGGAATGCTTTGCGCCGATCGATGCACCAAGAAAGAAACGAAAAAAGTGAATGTATTTGTATAAATAAATAATTCCGTCACCGCCGTTCCTTATTATTATAAATTATTACCTGCACATTTATGTATAGGTGTATTTTACAAATTTCCCTCTGTCGATAAGTTTTTTTTTTTAAGTAAAAAAACGAATTATGCGCATATGACGCCGACTAAAGTTTACAACTTCAGATCGATACCTTACGGTAGGAAAGAAAACTTGTTCAACTAACGTAATTTCAAACGGTATAAATAATTCATGATCTTTGAAAATTATTGAAATTTACATAAAAAAATAAAACAAAATACTATATTTTACAACAATATAAGTCAAAAGTGTATTACACTGAGTTACGCGAATTTCATACAACACTGATTAATTTTTTTATTAAAAATATCGAAAGTACAAAAATAAATGCACATTTTCTTTTTAATATAAAATATCTTATGATTTTATCGTATTAAATTAAACGAAAATATCCAAAGGTAATTTAGAAAAAAATGTATTAACAAACATCTTAGGTATCCGAAACGGTCTTTTCTTGATTAAAAATAATGTTTACTTTAATCCATAACATCTGTAAATCCAAACGAAACATTGTTAAACTCTGCCTAGACGTTTTGTTGATGTACAAGATTAACACCATATAGAAAACAAGAAGGGTTGGGTTTGTGTTAGGGTTAGTTTAAAGCGTATCGAATATATCTACTGAAAGTGTATGAATACAACTTAATTAAAGGCTGAAACTAGTTATAGGCTAACCGACATCATCTTAAATGTATACCCGTTTAAACTTAAAAGTGGACACACTAGGAATTAATAAAGTAGGATATAATTTTAGGGGTAAGCAACTAGGTAATCCAACAAAAAAAGTTATTTAGGCATGTAATACGGAACTGAGAAATTGCATCTAATAATTGATCGTTCTTTAAATCGTTTTAAATACATTCCATAATAAATGTGGTTGATAACCATACATTTTTTCTTTGACACATAACGTTGGAGTGACTTTTTTTCTAAAATACGGTAGAATATCTTATGATGCAAATTTCAATAATGTAATATTTTAAATTGAAATTGAATTTCGCATGAATTATATGTACTTGAAATATTGTCAGTGAGGAGGTTTCTATGCTCTATTTCATAATTTTGGATAATAGATCTGACAGATGCTTCTCTCCAAATTAATGGGTTGAAGCCTTCACAGCTCCTATGGAAACTACATTAATGGTGAATTATACGATTTATTCAAACTAATTTTTAGATTTTTTTTCAATGCGCAATGGCAGATAAATTTTATAAAAGAATCTTAATACTCATTTACAAATCTAATTTATTTTTTATTCAACTTAACTTTATTTCATATATGGAAAATAAGTACAATTATCATAAACACTATTATTTGCGTATCACCAAGTGTTCGATAGTATAAAAGAGAAAAAAGTAAAAAAAATTTCAAGTAACTCATAAAAAAATCAGAGCCTAAAGGAAATATATAGTGTAAAATTATCATTACGAGAATACATTATATCAAACCAATATTTTAAGATCAATATCGTTATGATTAAAATAAGTTAGGCAATATTAATGTGATTATGTGATGTATTAAATGCATTCTTGATAAATAGTTCATAAACTTATATGTTATAGTTGTACTTATTTACATAATTACATAACCGTATGCAAATGTGCTATAATATTTATCGTCATAATAAAAAAAAAAGTTTATTTGAAAAAAGAAACTCTGTGCTAACATTTTTGTCTAATTGTACGTATAGTAAAGTATTTAATTGCAAGTAATTTTAATTAAATACATAATAAAAAGCGAAAAATGAAATTGTTATTTTTTCAAAAACTACATTTTATATTCAATTAAACTAACAAAGATTTTTTTTTAATATGGCAATAATATAATTGTGTTTGAAAAATTCATAGAATAAATAAATTATAAATTCCGGAACGATATTTCGATAAAAATTTAATATTTTAAATTACTATTTCTTTTTAATTTATTTGATTTGAAACAATTTCTAAAAATAATACTATAATAATCAAAACTTAATGTTATAAACAGTAAAATTTGTATTTGGAAAAATAACGTATTCTATCCCCGATTAAAAATGTTGAGGTCTTTTTTGAATTATATATAATTTATATTAATTCAAATAATTTATATTTAAAACTATAATGGTAAAAAATAGTTATTTAAAAAATATTTCTGGGTAGAATAAATAATAATAATATATACATTTAAGTTCATATTTTTGAAAATAAAAATTATTATTTGTAGGAATCTCATTAAAAAAAAAAGCGGTAGCACAGTGGAGTCGCTGCACACTGTGAACATGGTATAGTTGGGACAACTATAAATGATATCTGACAGACATTAAAAACACTATCATAAGAAACGTTTCGATGCAAATCTGTAGTATTTTAAAAAATTGAACCCCCCTGTATAAAGGACAATGGTTCAATTTAAAAAAAAGTATGCTGGGTGAGAGGTAAATATATATATATATATAATTTAGTTAAAAACAAAAATTAATATTGATTTATACATTTTTCAAAAAGTTATAGTAATTTAAAGTTGAAAAAGTAAAATATAAAATCGTACATTTTAACGCTAAAATTGCATGTTTTTTAACTACGGCAGTCATTTGCATATAGAAGATAAGTCTTCGGGACAATCTTTTTTTTTTAACTTATAGTGCATAACATTAGCTTTATTTTAACATATGTTTGAAGCTCGGAGTATGTCCGAAACACTTAAGTTGCTATTTTTAAACCCTCTCTGTGGGCAGGTAAAGGGTTAAATTATCAAAAAATGTATATTAAATAAAAGTAAAATATCTAGGTATCAATAAAAAAAAACATTTATTTTGGTTTGTTCATTTTTCAATAAATTATGGTAATTTTTAGAAAAGAAATTTCAAAATTTACCGATTTTAAAAATCGTATTTTTTTGGGGGATTTTCACTAATTATGACGAACGAGGGAAAATTTTTTTAATTATTGATGGTAATGTCATCAACGAGATACGATTTGTGATATTTTGACGCATCGTTGAAAAAAATTTGTCCAGTGAGATCTAAGAAAAAGTAGTGACAGATACAAAAAAAAAAAATAATATAAAAAAAAATAAACAAATCATGGAAAATTAATACCTTCTCAGCTTCGCATCGAAGCTAAAAAATTACTTAAACATTTTATAATTTTTAAAGTGTGTAATAATACTAAATTAAAAAAACAAGAATAAAAAAGTTTTATAGTTATCTACCTTTTCGATTAAAATTAGCTTTAAAAGTTACCTTGAGAAAATATTCTTATATTAACGTCTATATATTTCAGTACAATTTTTTTAGGCTAAATTGTCAGGAAATTTTCTATAGCGGACAAATTCTCAGAAACTATTATTTTGGCTGTCACCTGTCTTTTGTTTTATGCGGTTTCATTAATAAATAACATCAGCTTTTAACGTTACGCTGTGGATAATGAAATAATTCATTTACCATGAAATTCTCGTTGCCCGAGAGCTTCAAACTATCCGCAGAATTCTGTAGAAATTTTTTTCTTATATATTTTTAGCTTTAGGTGTTAGTTACGTTAAATTAAACCTATAGTTTAGTTCTTGATTGAATTATTCATATAACTAATTTGGCTTTTTGAAATTACAATAACATAATTTAATTTTTAGATTGTAAAATTTCATTAATGGCTTTAGCTCATTCTGTAGAAGAGTTGTGATTTCAGTTTATTTTTATACTTTTAGTTAGCTCAATCTTTATTGAATATACTTTTCATTTTTTTTTTAGTTTTAAAACAATTAGTGCAGGCGAATTTTGGGAAATGAAAATTAATTTTTTTCCAGGAATACTTTCGAGCGGCAAAAAACTTGACAATGAAGGAGTTGGTTGTGCAAATTGTTGTGAGGGTATTTCGACTTTTGGATCCTGTTAAAGTTAAAGTGAAGTATTTCGACGAATTTTAATTATTCATCTGCGAGTATAAAAATACAACAATGAAGTACACTGAAGACTTGAAATTATTGAATATAAATCAACTGTGCGTTATGTGTGCAAGTAAAAAATAACAACCAACGCGATAAATATAATTTAAACATTGTTATTTACCTAATTTTAAAGGGCGTGCAATCAATGCGCAATTCACTGTGCTTTTGTAATGGACATGTATATATACTTTGCGTTACTTTTTATTTAAATAATATTTACAGTTTTGGACTACGTTAAAAACACAGTATTAATTGTTTTAGAAAAAAATTGAAAAACATATATTTATCATGTTTTTGAAATTTAAAAATAGCAATTATTGGGCTACATATTACAAAAAATTTTAATAAGTTAATAAAAATTTTAGAATAAATACTTATCGAATCACAAGCATTTTAATATGTATAGAGTGGGTATGTAACGCGGGTGGAGTATGAATTATAAATAAAGGGTTGGACTAGCCTACCGGGACACCGGGAAATTTCCCAGTGGGCTGCAGTTATATTGGACTGCGAGTCCGACGGATGAGGATGAAAGTAAAATTGTTTCAATAATTATTTTTTGTGGAATTGTTAAATTGAGAAGAAAAATTTGATAAGTTATTATAATTATGTGATATCAAGTATAGTAATCGTGGCTGAGATAACAATGTTTATTACATAGTATTTACATTAAATGTAACATCATACTTACCACGGTTCTGTTAACCAATATAATTTTAGTTAGGAACATTTAAAAATTGTATATATTGCTGATTGATAGTTTTAAAAATATAAAATAATTTAGAATACGATAAAAGTTCTGACAATATATACACCAACTTTTTAATGAAACTTTAATTTTTAATTATTTGTTGTTTTTTTTTAATCGTGATGAATATTTTTGGTTCATTTGGCATGTGAATATTTTTTTATTGCGGGGCTTAAATTTTCATTACCTAATAAATCATTTTTTTTCTTTGATAATATAGTTTTATTTTTAGGGCAAACCCCCTTTTCCAACTATAAGGCTGGTAAAAAATATAATTTCTCGGGACATATTTTGGGGCTAAGTTAACCCCCTGTATAAATACATACTAGTACAAATTACGCCTACCCAATTTGTATATGCTTATAATTCATTGAGTACTTGTCCGATCATCATTTTTGGTAAAAAAGTAATAAAAATATCTATACTAAAATTTTGAAAAAATAATTAAATTAAATTTTCATTTTGATTCTTGTTAATGATAAATAATAGAAATATGATTTAAAATAGTTTAAGAAGGCAATAATTATTTTCTAAATAAATTTCAACAAAATTATAATTCTATCAAATATCATAAGAGTTGTTAGTTAGGTTTGAAACATTCTGCATTTCGGTATATATACGTGTCCAAAAAATTTGTTTAATGATAACGTAAAAAATAAAATAGAGTTCTAAAATGTGCGGTGATTTATTTTGTATAATTATCATTGTTATGGTTGGAAAATAAAGAACAATTAAAAATTAATTAAGCGCTTCGAATGTATAATAATTTTGATTTGAGTTACCAACCATGTGGAAAACTATTTTTTTAAAGTGTAGATTGATAGTCCAACAGCAAATGGAGTATAATACTAGACAAACGAAAACAATAGCAGTTGAAGAACAATTGCCACAGTTTAAATTATATCCTTCTTCGATAAACTATTATATTATTTTAGTATAGATAAATATAATCGACCAAGTATCTTAATATTAATGGTATTCATTTTTTTTTTTTTTTGTAGACTTTTCAGCTGTGCCATAATGAAAATATTCGAAGAACGACAAGCTCTCCTCTAACTCTTATGGCGTATTTAAGTAAAAATTGCATAGCTTCACTTGAGTTTAAATTATATCTATTTATTTTACGCATTCAAAATTCCAAAAATAAAGATTTTTTGTTATTTTTGTAATAAGGTAAGTCTATGGTAGTTGAAACATTTTTATTTTGTTAATAAAAAACGCAGAGAATTAAAGTCTTTGTACTTAGATATTACTTTTTATTTGTTGATACTTATAAATTCAATTAATTATTCACTTAGCCAGAAATCCAGTTGAATTTATGTAATAAATTATTTCTTAAGCACAAACTACAATCGTGAAATTAAATTAAAACTGCGGCTCAGCGACCTGAGCGAATTTGGTATTTTCTTATTACTATATTACATAATAATGTATTTATCAATTATTTATTGGACCTCCTCTGACCTCGGTTTGCTGGAAAATAAGTATATTTGTGTACATAAATATGTTAAGAACTATAATAATGTATTACTGAATTCATAAAAATAAATTGCAAGTAATAAAATGTGTTATAATTAAACGGCTGCATAAGCAAGAGATAATATAAATCACTGTTTGAGTTATACATTTTAATATTAACATAAAACTTCAAGTAAAATGTATTATGGATCAATACTATGATTATTTTTTGTTCTTCTAATTAATCAAATACCATAAAAGTTAGTTCACTCATTTATAATATAATTCGTCAAATCGAGTTAGTCACCATAACACACACACATATGATAATATTAGAAATAATTCATTCAAATGTGGATATAATTAAACAACTACTAAAGGTCACGATCGCCAGTTATTGAATTATTATTATAATAGTGAATACTTTTTGAAAAGTAACATACATGAAATATGTTTTTTTAAGATTGATATAATTCCTAAAGTAGAAATGATTATTGTTTTTATTTTGGATTTATTGTTCACTTTATTTTAATATGTATAAAAGGTTAGTAGAATAACGCCGATGAATATCTTTTAATTGTTTGAGTTCTTACCTAATTGTAAAGAAATGGGCAATCCACTTAAGTTATTCTCGTGGAAGCTATGAATATTCGCCAAAGATTGTCCATGTTATTGTTGTTTTAAAGTAATCTATCCTTAACGTTTAAGGTGTATAATTAAAGTCTAAAGTGAAACAGATAATATTATACATTTTCTCTATTTCACTTATTTCTTTGGGATATTTTAATAATTAATGTGAGTAGAATCTCTACATACATGATAAATAGATTTTTTAACAATTCAAACATCTTATCCCTTACCAGTTAATAAAATTTGCATGTAGACAATTGAAGAATGACAAACAATAGGTCAAATCAAGTTGTGTTGATAATAATGTATTTAATATTATAGAATTTATTAAATAATGTTATATTTTATTTGGTAGCAAAATTATTTCATTTTCATAAAAACGGTAATTATTTTTACAATTTTTTTAGCTTCGATGGAAAGCTGAGAACTTTTAACTTTTTTATACGTTTGTCATAAAAGTAATAACTACTTTATATTTTTTTTTATAATTTCTCCGTAAAAATTACAATACTAAATCATTAAATATCAAATTCATACTATATATTAAATTGCTATAATAAATATTTATTCATATATTATACTTATAAATCACAAAACTTGTAATCAGGTTATAAATAAGGAAGTAGGAGATCATGTTGCTTTTGGAATAATACACTATTTTTTTTAAATTAAACAATATCTAAAGATTTGCATCGAAGCGTTTTTTATGATAGTGATTTTAATCACTGTCAGATTAAATCTATACTAGACCCAACTTAGCCACGTCCCCACTGTGCTAGGTATTTTAATTATACATTCAAAAAATTGAAAAATTTTTTTTTTTATTTTATTTTTTTTTTTTGTCGATGCTGAGTTATATAAAAACAATTAAATTATAATTTAACAGTATTAATTTAAAAAAAATTTTCATGACGAAGTGTTCTACGTTTGATTCTAAATCTATTGACTTGACAGGGTCCGATTAAGGGGGCGACGCCCTGAGGTCCATCTCGATTTCACTTGCCTAGTCTTGATTAGTTGATTAGTTTTCTTTTTTTTTTTACTGATTACTTTTTTCACGATAACGATAATTTTTATAGGAGAGTCAATTTCATGGTCCCAAGGGCCTATACACAAGATTAATACAAGTGTCGATATAAATTATAGTAATCTATGAATCAATATATTTTTTAATTAATCATTAAAGAAGCAAATATTATTTATAATTATAATCTTTTTCGTTATTGACGCTAAAATATAAGCCAGATATTTGTATTTTGGTGTAGAAAAAAATACACTAAAAATAAATAATCTCTATAATATATATGAAAAAATAATAGTACATATACTTTTTTAATAAAAATTTTATAGCTTTTACAAAAGTGTGTAAAATGACCATGATATTTATAAGGTTATAATTATTCATACTGTTTAAATTAGTAAGTGCCTATTTGCAACTCATGAAAATATTTCACTGTACCGCTTCAACTATAAAATGGTTTCTTGTGTTTAGTCTAAAATTACAATATTTTTTAACCGTGACTGTATGGAAAAATTACCTAACATACGCCAGTCTTACACAATTGAGATCAATTTTTGAATTCATATAAATGTGTTGTATTTTATTTGAAGACAACATCAAAAATTGAAAGATCAAGGCACTAGATAATGCGTAACAAAGAAATATCAAGTCCAAGTCTAAACCGTTTTTATTAAATAACGCACATTTTAATTTACTAAAAATTATTTCTCAATTTTTTATTATTATATGCTTAAAATTTTCATGAACAATCACAATAGCTGTTTTTCTAAAAAGAAGTTATTGAATTAAATATATTCTATATTATGTTTAATACAATTCTGTATAATAACAGTTATTTATCAAAAATTCAGAATTACAATAATGTAATAAAAAAAAAAAATACACTTTGTCTATGTTTTGACATCGTTAAGTAAATATAATACGGTATATCATTTTACCTGACGCTCCAAACATCCTATTATTCAAATTTTATTCCTTTTTTTTTTTGCATTAAAAAACCTGTGGTATATATTAATATATTATTAAAAAAAAAGTTTAATAACTGTTATTTGCCAATAAGATTCCAACAAAGAATACATATTTAATATAGAATTTGAAATATATTTAATAATACAGTTGGACTAGATGGATATTTTGATTTATTTAAATATATATTTGTTGTTTAACCTATGTAAGCACAGCAAATTATTAAAGAAATGATTCCTTCAAAGTTCGTTGAAATGTGCCATAAGTAATAAATATATAAGCTAAATTCATTAGAAATAATTATTTTTAAATACCTTCATCGCCCAAACGAATATTTAAATAAATAAAATAATAAAACACTTCATGAGGAATGTAACGCTGACAAATCGTTTCATCGA